TCCGATCTCCCCAAAACCCCAAAACCCCCCAAGTATCTTATATATTCTTTTGAGGAAAATAGTAAATAATAAGAAATAATTCTTCAATTGAAAGTCTTCTAGGAGGCTTACAATTATTTAGACTATTTAGCCTTTTTTATAAATCTCTCATACTATGTGATAAAATCCTTAGATGTTTCACTCTTCCCTTTTATACCTCCTTTTCTCATCAATTTCGGCTGTTCAAGACATATTGCATCAATACCCCCTTTTAATACACATACCTAAGTAAGTTAGCCAGATGTCTCTTTGATGATATTCTGAGCAAATTCATGGCCTATCTAATCTCTCTCTCCAATTATTACTATCACAGTTTCAAGTTATGTTTCCTGGAAAAGTTGAAGAAATTCAGCATAGATATGAAATTCAGTATCACCTTCTTCACTTGATCCATCCATATAATAACTACCCTTCATATGCAACCCATAAAATCCAGAAAAATCTTCTCTCACATCAATAAATAACTTGTTTTTCTTCCAATTTGGATTTTGAACATTTATAATTTCATCAGCTGATACTAGACATACTTCAATATCATCTCTATAATCGAGATATTCAAGCTCCCACCATCTTTAGGCAAAGTACTCATTTTACTTTAGCATATCAACAGCATTATTTTACATTTACCTCTTTGCATCGAACACAAAATCACTCTGAATGAAACTAGGTGGGGTCTTGTTCATATAAATCTTTGCTTGCAGTAATACATTATCAATATCAATTAATCCTTAGATGTTATTAATAATTCCAAGAGTGCTATTTAAATCTAATAGGAGTAGCTTGTCCTTAATTTACTTAAGGATACCAAGTGTAATATAGAATAGAAATTCAACTCTCTCGCAAAAGAGTTCAGTCCAGATATTCACTACTTTTTCAATTTCAATTGAATGTGCAAACAAAGTCATTACCCAACAGACAAGATACATATCATGTTAAAACTCTATTTGCTTAAAATGAAGATAGAGTTCTGGTTCATAGTAAGAGAGGAGTCTTTATATTAGTATGCATGGATACTTGAAACTCAAATTATTAGTTTCTTTATCTAAGAAGTGCTTCAAGAAATTGGTAAATATCTGTTTAAGCATGCTGATAACATAAAATTCCTTACTATAATTGAGATATTAAGTATATAGAACAACAGCAATAGAATCAAGACCTTATACATAGCAGCATTATACCCCTGAATTATTTTCAGAATTCCCATATATATTCAAAAACATCATAATCAAACGATGAACTCTCTTTTTAACTGACTCGTATCTCATTAAAGGATGGAAATGCTCACATCTTTTTATGTCATTCCACACTTAAATTGTATCTCGCTATAATTTAGGGTCAATAGAAATCAAATCTTCAAAATCATTTTCAAATATCAATTCGTGGAATGCATTAGAGTCACTCAGCAGTCAAAGCCACAGTTTTCTCCTTAATTTGTCGCAAACTTTGATAACTTTTTGATGTTTCCTAATATATTAGATAAGTTTTGATTGTGATATTTGCTGATCATCTATAATTTTTATCAAGGAGACGTAAATCTGAATTAAATCCTGACTCTTTTATCTAATCTCATTAGCCTAGTTTATATTTTTATTTTAATTTTTTTCTTTTAGAGAGAGATTTTCGCTTGCCTTATTAGATTTTTTCTAGCTTTAAGTGATTTCTTATGGCTATTGCTATTATGGTTTTTATCCTCCAAATCCAAAAGAAAATATACTTGATATTCTGTCCATTATAGATGATTAAACAGACATATTATCTGAAACTAGACTATTAATCTAACTTTTATCATCTTTCTAACTCCCATTCTTTTGAGATTGCTAGCTTTTTCTTTCTTCGTTGTTTGAAGTACTACTATTTGTACTTATAAAATACTGACCTGTTTAAAACTATTAGTCAGCTTTTGTTAAATCTGGTTTTAATACTAATGTTGAAGTAGACTAGCTCTTCTAATTTTCATCCTCATAAAACAATATATTTTAAGAATCGATTCCTTTTGGATTTAAGTTTGATAAGTTGTAATTGGTTACTCTTGTTGATTTAAAATTAGATATCCTAGATAAAACTGGAAGTCGTTCTAACTATTAATGATCATCAAATTTTGCCTTGAGATTGAATTACTTTGAAATGAATTCACAAAAATCTTATTCGTCACTTTCGACAGCTTTAAGTATACTAATCTCGTAAAGTTAACATGAGCTAAAATTTGAGGTTTTATACTAACTCTAATCTCTTATGCTATTCAATAATTATTTTTCCATCTAAGATACTGGGGAAATAAATTCAATCTACTGTTAGATATACATCTTATTTTGCTATTTAAAGATTGGATGACTTAGTAGTTCAAAAGCATCAGATCTCTATTTTCAATCAATTTTTAAACACTCATAAACGAAATCCAAAAATACTGAGGTATAACGTGACTCATCAATATATTCTCCATTAATCAGTTTCCATAAATCACATTCTTCCTCAACTAATTGAAATTAAGAATTCATTAAGTCAGGTCTCGCAATCGGCTTTTGACTTATCAAATATGATTCCTACTCAAATCTCTAGATTATTGATAAAATATCTATAACCAAGTTATTTTGATTCGCTGGTTCAAACTCCAAGCTCATACAAAGCATTAGTATAATTCCAAGATTCCATATATCAATCTAATTATTATTTAAGTTATTCAAAGAATTACATTGTCTTGGAGTTATCCATTCATTATAGTTTCTTTCGGCAAATATAGCATATCCTCTTGCTTTACTTCAAACTTGTTTAATATAAGATGACTTATTTCTTAAATTTTCACCCTTCCCTTTAATAAATTACTAAGTAATTAATTAATCTTACCATTTCGTCAAAATTGATATTTTCCATTCTCATCATTCCTTTGAAGTTATATCCTTTTTGGTTCAAATAATTAATTCCCATGAGAATTTAGAATGCAATGTCAATTAATTATTCTTGAGTGAATTCCATATTCTCATTTTTGTTAGTTCGGTATAAATCATATAGGGAGCCATTGTATCCCTCAGAAAAAACAAACAAGTTTTGCTCATTTGCAGATTGCTTTATTTAATAATCTAAAATTTTACATAGAGATCTATGTTTAAGTTACTGGACTTTTATAATCTCTTTAAGAAAATCCTAATCCAAGTTTTCCAATTCATTAACCATATTGATATCATCATTGGAAACATCTAAATCATTTATATCTTTGTCCTAATCAACATCATTTGATAATTTTCTTGAGGAGATTTGTTTTTGATCTTTATCATTTTTCATCTGGGACTTTATCTGTTTAAGAATCAATTAGGAGGGTTTTAGTTGATTTGCAAAGGTCAATTTTCTAACAAGAATCAATTTTTCACCTTGTATCTTTAGAGAGTTACTTTGAAAATTTTCACCTTGATAAATTTGAAATTATTCCATTTTTTAATTATACCTACACATTAAAAGATATAAGATCAAGGGGTTTTGGGGTTTTGGGGTTTTGGGG